GTACACATAGTCACTGTAATGGTAGCAATCATTGTCTGTCAGTCTGTCTCGTTTTGTGAATTGGTATGCCATGAAGTATAGGGAAGGGAGAGGGGTATTTTTATGGGTGGTACAGGGGGTTAAGGGTAGTTTAAGGGGGGTTTCCAAGGGGGAGAGGAAAGCTAAGGGACACCTCCTCCTACCTTCCTACCTCCCCTCTCTCCCATTTGAGGTAAATATTGAGAGGTTAGGAACATCAGTATCTAATATTCCTTTATTTTACGACTCAATTGTTCCAGTTCATCATTTCTCTTCATCCTCCTCCTCCTCTTTTATCCGCTCCTCCTTCTTCTCCCCCTCCACTCTCTCAGCTCCCTCAATCCCTCCCTTCCCTGCCACTCCCTACAGTTATTTGTTTTTTCTTCTCTACCTCACCCGAATTACTCCTTCAAATCCCTCAATCATTCACCACCATTGTGTGTATTCCCTCACACATCCCACCACAGCATAGTACACTCCCCACACACTCCTCCTCACTCGCCAACACACACCCTCCTTCACATCCCTTATCACCTCTCAAAACACACCCCTCCTCACCATCCAACACACTCCCTCATTCACCAACACTCTCGCTCACTCCAACACACTCTTGCACTCTTCAAAACATTCTCCCATTCTCCAACACACTTCCTCACCCTACAACACACCCCTCACTCCTCAACACACACCATCACCCTCCAACACACCCTCACCACCACACTCCCTCACCACCTCCCACACACCCCCAACACTCTATGTCTTCACTCATTATATATGCTGGGAGACACAAACACCAAAATTAAATGTTACTGACACAAAACATCTCTTAGTGTCACAGCTTCAACTGAGATACAACGACAGCTTATTGGTGCTTATCTCTACAGCGTAAACCTAACCTAACCTAACCTAACCTAACCTAACCTAACCTAACCTAACCTAACCTAACCTTACCTAACTACTTATATAACAAACTAAATAACAAGGAACTAGTGTGAAAGTCATCGACAACTAAGGTCTTTACAGGGGCTTAGAAAATATCCTTTTAACAGACGTAAACACTTTAGTTATATTGTGTAATGTCAGGAGGCGAGTGTCCACCATATTGGCTGAATGGGATTGTGGGTAGAGACACGTTGACGTCACATTACTTCACTAACGTTCTCCGGGGTTTAGTTGACGTCACCTTACTTCATTAACGTTCTCCGGGGTTTAGTTGACGTCACATTACTTCACTAACGTTCTCCGGGGTTTAGTTGACGTCACATTACTTCACTAACGTTCTCCGGGGTTCAGTTGACGTCACATTACTTCACTAACGTTCTCCGGGGTTTAGTTGACGTCACATTACTTCACTAACGTTCTCCGGGGTTTAGTTGACGTCACCTTACTTCATTAACGTTCTCCGGGGTTTAGTTGACGTCACATTACTTCACTAACGTTCTCCGGGGTTTAGTTGACGTCACATTACTTCACTAACGTTCTCCGGGGTTCAGTTGACGTCACATTACTTCACTAACGTTCTCCGGGGTTTAATTCTTTTATCATTTCTTATTTTTGTTTTCCTTTGTCAATTTCATCAGTGAAAATGGCGATAATATATTTTTTAAATAATAAACTGTAGTCTTTCATGTCTTGTCTGGCAGTGAGTGTGTAAATTCTCTCTCTATTTCTTTAGTTCTCTCTCTCTCTCTCTCTCCTTCCCACCCACCCTCCCTTCCTATCTCCCTGGTTCTTCACTCCTCCCCCCCCCTCCCACCTCTCTCGAGCGTATACCTCCTGTCATTGCAATATTCTCGGAACCACTTTTTAACATTGCAAAGCCGTGATGTTGCATAGAGCTTTGGTCCCTGAGTGAGCAGGTAACTGACTTTTACAACTGTTCCGTGTGTGTGTGTGTGTGTGTGTATGAAAATAAAATATATTACCGCTAAAATGTGTCTTTAATAACATAGAATTTATGTAACAATAAATGGTAGAATTTGGTTGAATCCCTCTCTCTCTCTTCCCCTTCTCTCTCTCGCTTCCCCTTCTCTCTCTCTTCCCCCTCCCTCTCTCTCTTTCTCTCTTCCCCTTCCTTCTCTTCTTCTCTTCCTTTCCTCTCTTCTTCCCCTACCATCTTAAACTCCTCTCCTTCCTTTCCCATCCATCTATCATTCCCCTCCCTCTCTTCCACCCTTGCTCTCCCCTTCCTCCTTCCTCTCCCTTCTTCATACCTCTCCTCTTCCACCTCTTCCTCCTCCCATTCTTCCCTCCCCCCTCTACCTCTCCCCCTCTACTCTATCGTTGCCATAGAGACGAAATTAACACAATAATTCACTCAAACAAATAAAAAAATACTGATTATCTAATTCAATCCGGATTAAATTAGGCTAAGTTAGGTTAGGTTAGGTTAGGTTAGGTTAGGTTAGGTTAGGGTGTCTAATCTTCAGGTGACAATTGGAAAGAATAAACCCAGTTGGTATTTGGTCGTTAGTAAATATTAAGCAGAAATGGACGCTTTCAGGACGAGGCAGCAACGTAACGGGAGAATTAACAGCTAATTGATGGAGCAAAATGAATCCCCAGGTCGTTAACAGGTCACTGGTAGTTGAAATTAATGATATACCGAGTTCAGGATATGACGTCACCCCAGATATGACGTCACCCTAGATATGACGTCACACCGGATATGAACGTCACCCTAGATATAACGTCACCCTAGATATGACGTCACCCTAGATATGACGTCACCCTAGATATGACGTCACCCTAAATATGACGTCACCCCAGATATGACGTCACCCTAGATATGACGTCACCCCGGATATGACGTCATCTATTTGGAGTGGTTTTTATAATTACTTGTATACGATCGTTCCAATAATTGTCAAGCCTATTCTGTATAATTAGTTTTTGAGATAATCCACATAATTTACAGTAGATTAATGAAGCAGGATTATTACAAGAGATATAGTTAAATATAGTTAATTTGTCAGTTAACTCTGTTTTTTTTTTGTACTAGAAGTTTTTGTTCAATTGTATGAAGTGTAACTTTTATCATCTATGTTTATTGCATATTTAATAAACTGTTTGTTATTATTATTATTATCATTATTATTGTTGTTGCTGTTGTTGTTGTTGTTATTATTACTATTAGTAGTAGTAGTGGTAGTAGTAATAGTAGTATCATTATTATTACACACACACACAGACAGACACACACACACACACACACACACACAGACTACCAACAACACCAGACGGTAATATATTTCCTATTTTATTCTGATAAAGCACCTGCAGTTAATTACGGCAACAGGTAACTTCTTAGTCATTAGTTTCATCGACAAAGTTACCGCCCTCGTTGTCCTCGCCGGTAGAGTGTGGACGAGATCTGAAGGACGAGATACGAGTGAAAATATATTTAGTTAATTTGGAGGTTGTAAGTACGGAGTGATTTTCTGTCTGTCTGTCTGTCTGTCTGTCTGTGTCTTCATCTCTCTCTCTCCAATCACATTTCTCAGACTGTCTCAACAAATTCTTCCCACAGTTCCTCAACTTTCTCATTACAACAAAGTTCTTTTCCCCCTCTCCTCTACTTATCATTCGTCCATACAATAACTTTTACAATTAAAGGTAAAAAAAAAAACTTCAATTACCCTCACAAAAAAAAAAAAAACGAACAAACAGAACTAATCCTCACACGACCACCCCTCACACGTAAACAACAGTTGGCAAACATTGTACCCAAACACAAACAAGAGTTACATAAAAAAATAAACAACTAAACATATCGTGGGGAAAATTGGGATTACCTGATGATTAACTACCTGTATGTTATTAGGTTTGGTTAGGTTAGGTTAGGTTTAGGTAAGATTACATTAGGTTAGGTTAGGTAATTACAGTTATTATTCACTAACATACCACGAGGAAAATCTCATTACATTTTCCTTGTGACCAGAGAATGACGGCCGCTCTATATGCAGATGATGTGACCGTAACTGTAGTGAGGAGAAAGGCTGGAGGAAAATATGCGTGCTGCAAGTGTTTAATAAAAGCAGTAATCAACCAGACACCGTGAAAACAAGATGGCCCGTGCTTTTGTTTTTATACATCAACAAAAACACAACAATAACAAATTCTCCAGTGTAGTTACGTTAAAATGAAACAAAAGTGGAGAGGGTTTTTGTTTTTATACATCATCAACAACAGCAAAGGCATAACAATAACAAATAACGAAAATAACGAAAACATATGTTGAGGTGTTTTATAGAAGCGAGAGAACAGAGCCGGAATATCATTATAAATAATTATATGCATCTAATTAATTTGAAACGTAAGGTAAAAAAAAAAAAAACAGAAGTAATAACGTCAGGAAAGATGTCAACAAAATTGCACTGAAACTAGAGCTTAACAGTAGATAGGTTCACTTAGCACCACAAGTCAGGAGATTAATTTTTTTACAATGAGATTATAATTGGATACGTACATTTAGATATTCATATGCACACACACACACACACACACACACACATCCCTCGTAGACAGGAAACATCATCATCCGTCACTTCAATAATGCCGAGTGTTGGGTTAAACAAATGTAGCGAAAATTACTTACAAGTTAATTAAGATAATGTGCGAATATGCACTAAAAAAAAGTATTCAATTGCTGTATATTTTTTTTTTGCTTACATTTTAGCGTACAGTAAAACCTTTATTTAACGGATTATATGATGAAGAGACTCCGTTATATCGAGGTTTCGTTAGATATGAAACCTCCCATCTAACGGATTATATGGAGAGAGAAGTCCGCTATATGGAGGTTTCACTGTATTGTGGACGTACTGAGAGGAACCGGAGACCCAAGTAATTCTCTAAATATATTTGAAGAACATTAAACTTTAGTGCAGCAACAGGTTCACAGAGGGAGTTGCCAGGTGTCAGAGGGGAGAGCGAGGTTATATAATGGCGCGCGTCTCTCCAGAACCCGGCACAACGTTGTAGGAAGGCGAAGCGTGAGGACAGACGGTCCGAGTCAGCCAGACCAGTCACTCGGGGGAGAGCCAGGAACTAGAGAAACTTATTACGTGTCTTACTCTTCGTTCTTCATAAATGTGTCGGTGTTTACAATGTGGAGTTTGTACTTATAACAAACTTTTAATCGATGTATTTTCAATGAATCTTCTTGATGTCAACAGAGTGTGGTCTGTAAAACCTAACATGCTTTGGGTCTGTATATCTTAATGGTTAATATTAGTATAAACAAACTGTAACCTTCCTAAACATTAAGCTGATTCTGTTTACTGGATATATAAAGGTGCATTAACATAAACAGCTTCACTTACCTCCAAGAATATCCTGGAAGACGTAAATGACGAACCAAACACTCCATCTGGCTCTTCATGTTAGGTGGCTGTACTGCGGAGGCTAACCTGGGAATAAAACAAAAATCCAAAGTTACTGTGGCGTTTACACTACATTAATCATCCTGGAAAAAAAAGTAGCGTCTCTTGTACAAATTAATTAGACCCCCAAATATCTTAGACTTGGATGAGCTAAATGTTTGGGTTTTATGTGGATGATAATAAACTCGTAAACTTGTAATCATCCTGGAAAAAAAAAACTTGTGTATTCTTGTTCGAGGTAAAGAAATGACCCCAAAAGTAAGCTTATCTTGGCTGGCCTGAACCTTCTGCCTTTCCCTGTGTGTGAAGAACATCTGTATGACGGTAATACAGTACACAGTGTGTTAGTGAAGGAAAACATAGTGTTTGTGACCATAAGAACGCCTGTCTCCTTTACCCGAGAGCAAACATTCACGTGACAATATAAAAAGAATGTTAAATGTGAAAATAAAAACGACTGACTATTTTTCCTCCGTGTAAACATTCATATGGTAGTGTGTGTACGTGAACAGTAGCTGATATATACTACCTTATATGTGTACACAGATCCCATTAGTGCACATAAAATAACATGTACACGATGCTACAGTCGTTTACACGGGTGATTATAACATTATGAACAGTTGTCTATGAACGTTCTTTACGTCAATTATCAAGTTTGTACACATCGAAGGCTGTACATACATAAATACACACACACGCACGACCGATAACGTACACCGATAAAGACCAGTTAACGTACATGAGTGATCATCATAACAATACATGTACATGATTTAGGATGTGCACAGAGAATCCTCAGTTGGCGTACACACGGAGGTACACATAGATATACGTGACAGAGACACAGGGTAAGATGTTCACATTGGAGTGGCAGACGGCAGGGGTGGGGTGGAAGAGGCTGGACGGCCCCCCACCCTCCCTCAACCCCAGCATCATGGCGCTCGACTCCCTCGACTTCGACTCTGAAGACTTTAACCTGATGAACCTCGCTGCCCTGAACGAGAACCTCACCAGCCTGGCCCACAACCTCACCCACCTCTTTAACCTCACCGGCGGCATCAACGTCGATCTCCTCAAAAAGTTCGAGAAGAATCGCCGAGTCGGGGACGGGGCGTTTTACACCCTCATCTTCGCCTACAGCGTCCTCATCCTCCTCGGGGCTACCGGGAACTCCCTGGTGGTGATGGCGGTCATCAGGAAACCCGCCATGAGAACCGCCCGTAATGTCTTTATCATCAACCTGGCCATCTCAGACCTCCTGCTGTGCCTGGTCACGATGCCTCTGACACTAATGGAACTCCTGTCGCAGTACTGGCCGCTGGGGGACACGCCCTTCACCTGCAGGCTGGTGGGCACACTGCAGGCCACCTCCATCTTCGTCTCCACCATCTCCATCACCGCCATCGCCCTCGACAGATATCACGTGAGTGTCCTGTGTACCGTGTGGCTGGTGGCAGTGAGGTGTTATGTGTGCACACCAGCTTTATCTTATTTCCGCCTTACTGTAGGTACGAGTAGAGCCCAAAGTCCTTTCGCCCGAAGCAGTAGACACTCTTGCGTTATTCTGTCCACATGAGCTTCGGATTCATGAGTCTGAATCTTGGGGTTCCTGAAGCAGCGGTACCTTCAGTCTTTATTAAGGGGACAAAGCCTCACGGCGCTTATCTCTCACAGCGACGTGAACGAAACAGAACTAAACACCAAATAACACCAACGAAACGAAATTAAGTTGTATCAGGCAAGAGGTCGCAGATGTACTTATGACATACACTCAAACTAACACATACATACTGTATACTCATACTCACCTACACTCATGTTCACACACGCACTCATACACACATACTTATATTCATACACACTCAAACTCTCATACTCATACACATAAGAACATAAGAAAATAAGGAGCCTGCAATAGGCCGGTTGGCCTGTGCATGGCAGCTCCTGTCGAGAGTTACTACCACTCTCTTGCACAAAAAGTCCTATCTAAGAACCTCACCTGGCTGTCCCCAACTACCACGACCTTACCACTGGGCAGGGTTTGAACAACTGCCCTTTTCTCTCCTGGCACCACACCGTCCTGCCTCTTCTCTTCCTCGCCAGCTTCCTCCAACACTTGGTAGGGGTTACTGCACTCCACACCTTGGTCAGCTTTCCAGAGTCTGACCCTAGTCCCCTTGGCATCACCCACTCTCCATGCCTGTTTCTCCTTCGCAGGTGTCCTCCTAGGCAGGACACTTACCTGAAGGAGTTCAGTCCTGAGGGCTTCGTTCTTCCCCTTTAACACACATTCATACACACTCACTCTCATACACTCATACTCAAACACACTCAAACTCACCATCCTATCCACACTTATCCACATATCCACTCCAGCCCAGAGCTCCACCACCTAATTATCGGCGGTAAGGTATACGTCCCTCTTCTCTCTCTAAGCCTCATGCTAATTAGGTTGTCAATGCTCACCTTAGCAACCGGTTCCTCGTTACCTGGAGATGTCTCAACCTAAAAAAGTCCCTTCACCACCAAAAAAGGTTGCTAAAAAAGTACCTAAAATATATGAAAACTTTAAATATTTCATGACTTAAAATTTCCTTCACATTAAAAGAAAGTTCGAACGAAAGAAATACTTAAAATGACCCTTTTTTACATTTTTTTTAACTTTAGTCTTTTCCTTCTTCTTCTTCTTACAACACACACACACACACACACACACACATACACACACACACACACACACACACACACACAGACACACACACACACACACACACACACACACACACACACACACACACACACACACACACACACAGAGGCCTATATTGAAACATCATTACACTTGTAGATACTTTAGACCACCGACGGTTGGTTGAGTGATTGTCTGTCAGTCCTGCCCGACGGTGAGCCATTAAGCTTGAGTGTGGTTTGTTGTCATCTTTAAGCTGCCGTTTCGTGGTTTAAGTATTGATTGTGTTATCTCGATGGGTAACCTAACCTAACCTAACCTACCCTTAACCTAACCTACACCTAACCTAACCTAAACCAAACATAACCTACCCTTAACCAAACCTACACTAAATTAAACCTAAACTAAACCAAACCCACCCTAACCAACCTAACGTAACCAAAGACACCCTAAACCTAACTTAAACCAAACTTATGAGTAATCAAATGTAAAAAAAAAAGAGCAAGATTTGGTTTAGTGCCCAGGCGGGTTGTGGATATACCCGTCTCCGGACCCCAGTACCCAAGCGGCTCTCATCAACCAAAGTACCCGAGCATTGTAGAGGCGGGTGTAACAAGAGGCGGGAATAGAGATGAAGCAAAAGGCGGTAGAGGGAGGGAGGACCTACTAGCCTCCACCTACTAGCCTCCATCTACTAGCCTCCACCTACTACTAGCCTCCATCTACTAGCCCACCTACTAGCCTCCATCTACTAGCCTCCACCTACTAGCCTCCACCTACTAGCCTCCACCTACTAGCCTCCACCTACTAGCTCTCCACCTACTAGCCTCCATCTACTAGCCTCCACTTCCACCTCCTCCAACTAGCCGCCCATTACTAGCCTCCATCTACTTGCCTCCATCTACTAGCCTCCACCTACTAGCCTCCATCTACTAGCCTCCACCTACTAGCCTCCATCTACTAGCCTCCATCAACTAGCCTCCATCTACTAGCCTCCATCTACTAGCCTCTATCTACTAGCCGCCACATACTAGACGCCATTTAAGGACAACGCTTGCATCATTAACCAAAGTGCTGTCGTGTAAGAATGAAATGCTTTCTCTTCTTTTAACTTTACCTCCTCCCACACACACACACACACACACACACACACACACACACACGGACATACATACATCCCTCCTCCACGTGGCAGCAGTAGTGTTTATTTACCAACACACAAACACGCCTCAACATGTTAGCGTAGAACAAATACATCACGTTGGTATTAACTTCAATTATAATGACCAAAAATAATGAGCTGTTCACTTGGCTCTGAAAACATTATGAGAGTCGGAGTGTGAGTGCAAGAGGGTACTATAGGTCTGTCCGCTCGTTAGGGAGAGAATGGTTACGGTAATTATCAGATCAGGTGATTCTTAACTACACTAGGGGCAGCCTGACTCATGACCAGACTCCCACCAACTTCAATTCCTAATTATAAAGTTAGATACGTATTTACAAGCCAGTGACCTGACTTGCCCTGGGATCGAACGAGAGAACATTAAAACACAAAATAAGTTCTCTAACCACTCAGCCACCTCACCCTCGCTTACGAATAAGGGTAAAAAAAAAACAACAACAAAATTAATTATCGCATCTCGTAAACGGATATAAACATTACTATCTAACAACCTTCCCATAACCCATTACAAGTGACTCATAATTCAGGTCACTTTATGAGTAGGTTTAAACTAACAAACAACCATTGACCATACCTTATAATGCTCCTAAAAAGCTTTATAACAGGTGTGTATAAATAAGGCTTATAATCGCCTTCTTTAATTGATATAATAACTCTTACTTGTGTTACTGTCATGAGATATTATACTACTGTTAAAGGTCTCAGTTCTATAACACGTAATTAAGGTCTATAATCGTGTATCATTCTATTAACACACACACACACACACACACACACACACACACACACACACACACACACGGATATAAATCAGTTTTTTCCTGCTGTAATCATTTTAATTCACTTCATTCTATTTTAATTACAACAAGTGAATCACCTGAGGATAAATCACCTCCAGCTTAATTCTCTTGGTGATTAAACACCCTAATGATACCTGGGTTAGATTAGGTGAGGTTAGCTTAGGTTAGATTAGGTTAGATTAGGTTAGGTTAGGTTAGATTAGGTTAGATTAGGCTACATTAGGTTAGGTTAGGTTAGATTAGGTTAGGTTAGGAATAAACTGGGAGTCTATTCTTCACGTGACGTCAAATATAATTACATAAATGAATACAGACAGACAAAGACAGACAGACAGACACAAAGACAGACAGACAGACAGACAGACAGACACAAAGACAGACAGACAGACAGAAAGACTCCTGAGACTAATTAACTACACCTAAGAGGCTGGTCATTGTACCGAGATAATGAGGATGACTTGCCGGATTTAGTGACGTCATAAGAAGCACAGATCAAACACACAATGGTAGATGAGTGTGTGTGTGTGTGTGTGTGTGTGTGTGGGGTGTGTGTGTGTGTGTGTGTGTGACAGGACGAGCGAGATACTTGACTGAGGACTGATAAGAAACGCCTCCTGCCCTGGGCCCTGCCCTGCCTCTGCCCTGGGCTCCTGCCCTGCCCGCCCTGTCTCTGCCCCAACACACCAACATTGGTTTCAGCAACACAACATTCCCACAAGTCAAATACACAGAATTAATTTGTGTAACTAAACCAATCAATGAATTTTAATATAGCGTACCTGTGTTGTGGTAATGTTAGTCATGTTAGCAGATCAAGTTAGGCTAATTATGCCATATTATTAAAAGTAGGCCTATAGAAATTTTGAGATTAATGTTATACTTTGCCAATATCCCATAGAGTGAATTTTTTTTTTAATTTACCTGCCGTTATAGATCATTAATTAATATGTAAAGGTGTTCAGAATATCTAATGATTGACGAAGATAAAGAAATTTCAGTTTAAATACAAATCAATTTTAAAATATTTGATTCCAATTAGTAGTAATTTATATAGGTAATTAATATACAGTATATACGGTTAATTAAGCACTATACAAACATATTGGTTAATCGGACGTAAACTCAATCTATATGCAATTACCAAAATAGCCTATAGTGATTTAAATAACTGAGTCCAATAGAGCAGTTTAAATCACCAGTATTGAAAGGGTTGATGGTGACAGGTCGTGATGGCACTGTGAGGTGGCATCATTGGATGACACTAACTGCGTACACACGTGATAAATGACACACACATATGATGCCACTTGTCACTGTGTAGGTCTGTGTACACTATGACTGTCTGTGTAGGTCTGTGTGCACTATGACTGGCTGTGTAGGTCTGTGTACACTCTGTGACTGGCTGAGTGGGCCTGTGTACACTCTATTACTGGTTGTGTAAGTTAGGTTAGGTTAAGTTAGGTTAGGTTAGGTTGAATACAGGGTTTGGTTCCGGGATCCGAATCCGGTTTCATAGTCCGGGGTTCAGGGTTCGGGTTCGTATATTAATTAAACTTAGAAAAAATACGTAATAATGAAATAAAAAACAAAAGATATAATAATAATAATAATAATAATAATAATAATAATAATAATAATAATAATAATAATAATAATAATAATAATAATAATAATAATAAAATCGTATTGTAGGAGAATTTTCAACGTAATATTTTTCCGCCAAAGTAAAAAAACAAAGTAAAAGAAAAGAA